TGGATGGATGGATGGATGGATGGATGGAAGGAAGGGCGGATGGATGGATGGATGGATGGATGGATGGATGGATGGATGGATGGATGGATGGATGGAAGGAAGGGCAGATGGACGGATGTGACCCAGGCAAGATGGCTCTATGAGGCTCTAAATGGAGGGGTGCAAAGGTATCCCCACCACCTTCCCGTCGCTAGCTCGGCCGTGACTGCCTGCCCTTACCTCGGCAGGCACTGCACCAGTCAGTACTTCACATGCATTCTCTCCTCCTGGCCTCGTAAGAACTATGACCATGGTGCACCTAGAATGACTGCCCCATGTTACAGAAGAGGAAACAAAAGCGTAGGCAGTTCCCTAACTTCCCAGCGGTCACAGTTAGAGGCAGAGCCGGGATTTCCATCCCAGCCCTGTCTCCCTGGAGAATCTGAGCTCTTTGTTGCCAAACTGGCTTCCACAGCCTTGTACCCACTCATGGCACTGAGAAATTTGAAAGTCAAGGGACAGGAAGACATAGCCGAGCCTTAAACTCAAATTGGAACACCGATGGTCTGCCCTAGAAGCAGATTTTTTTAAATGACTTGCAGACCTAAATGGGTGTCCCAAGAAAGCATGGGGGTTTCCCCAGTGCTCCCCACGCCAGTGTGTCGGTTTCCTCAGGGAAGGAAGGTCCCTTCCAAGTAGTACAGATACTATTTCAGCACAGTTTTACTTTTTCTCCACATTTAGTAACTTACAGCTGCTGTTATTCTTGGGTGGTGTTTGGACTGAAAGAGACACCGTCTCCGACTGCACCAGGCCCTGCAGACGCCGGTTCCCCATGTCCAGCCATCATCGCAGAAACCTCCCACCTCCTCACTAGAGTTGAAACCTTCTGCGCAAGGCAGTGAGGAGATGGTGATGAACTGGGCCAAAGCAGGGACCAGAAGAAACTTCAAAACCCACCAGGATGAGAGATGTGTTTATTTCCAGAAACCTTCCAGGTTTTTTCTAAGGACCAAGTTACACAATTTGCAGCTGCTTTTTTCTCACGCTGTATACAGTGCCTGCGAATGCTTCACGGGGGACACCGCGCGCTTTCCATCTGTTTTAATTGCGGCAGAGAGTGACAGGCGCCGCTGCGAGGGGGAAGGAGGGAGGCAGAGGGGAGGGAGCGGGCCGGGAGCGGGCCAGGGCGGCAGCTCACGGGTGGGTAACACACACCAGAGCTGCTCCCGTCTGGCTCCGTCAGTCCCCAGGAGATGGCTTTAGAAGCTGGCACCTGCCGCCACCGAGAGGCCGGAGCGCTGTAGGCTCGGGCACCTCGCCTGGAGGCGCTTGCACGGTGCCCTCCCGGCAGGCCGCTTCTGCGGTGAACTGGGGGGGCTGGTACCTTTCTAGAGAGCTCTAGGAACTTGGTTTTTGCCTCTAATGCTCTTGGAATTTACAGGGTGCCCATAAAACCTGGAGAATTAGGTGAACTATATTATGTAATATAAACATCTTCAATCCATAAAAAATAAAATTATTTTTAATTTATTTCTGTATGTGTGCACAGGATTGGACAGGCCCCTAACTGCGGGTCAGGGGAGAAGACGGGGGCCCAGAAGCCCACCCCTCAACCGCTCGCTCTCGGTTCCTCACACCCGAAATGCTCGTGGTTTTCCCCAGCGAAGCTCTCGCTCACGCGCCCAGCGGACTTGCGCGGCAGTGTCCCTGCTGCACTGATGACGGTGGTAAAAATACCAGAAATCTGCTAGCATCCCTAAGGTGGAGAATGGGCAAATATATGATGGTGTAGTTATACAGAAGAATATCATACAGAAGCTATAAGTTAATAACAGACTACTAAAGAGCAGTTATAAATGAATTAATTATCATTTCTCATAGATCAGAGACATTAATCTGGATACACTCCAAAAGCAGGTTGAGCAAAAGAAAAAAAAAAATGAAATATTGCAGAAGAATCCATATATGAAGATACCATTAATATAAAATTTAAAAAACAGACAAAACGACATAATAAGCATTTATGGATGTATAAGTATGTCCTAAAAACACTTTTTTAGACACAGGTTAATGGTCAACATCCAGATCAGGTTTGTGGCCACCTCTTGGGTGAAGGGGGGGGACATGGTCTAGGAAAAATGCCCAAGCGGTCGTGTTTGTATCTGTAAGACTTCCCTTTTTAATCGGGGGGGTGATATTTGTGTCTACTTTTTTATATACATTATATATTTCATAAATTAAAAACACACACACTGTTGACCTTCCTCATCTTATTGGCTGGAATGTGTTGTATGTCTGTTGGCTCACCTATCAGGAAATAACCATTAAATGTGAGTGATGACTCTGGTCTCATGATACAACTGTAACTGATAGTTCACTTCTGGTTCCATTTTGGGGGTTTTTAATGACAACTAAGAATCATATTGAAGCTAATGTCAAGCTATACATGTGCCCAATTTAGAAAACTCAATTTGTGACATATTAATTTTTAATATAAGATAGTAGAGCTTCAATAAATGTTTAATTAAATTGAGGCAGATTCCCTATACGATTTCTATCAATTGGGGGTTTCCTAGTTATACTTTAAATGATTTGATTCTCTGAAATTAGATATATGCAGAAAGTTTTACACGACTGCTACTTGCATGCAAGGAGGTTCACTTGTAAAATCCATCTACTTGCATAGTTTCAATGTTTTAAAAAATATATTAAGTTTCTTATATGCAAAACACATTTCCTAGTTTGATTTACACTTCAGTAGAGCTTCCTGAGTTGCAACTTGGACACTGACATTTCCATGGCAACATATTTTTTTGTCCTAAAAACAGGCATGATTAAGAAGGCGGCTTCAGTGACAGCAGTTTTCTTTATAATTAAATTCATTAGTTAAAATGCTGGGTTTAAGAGGAACAGGAATTTTATTGCAACAAGGACATTTTCAACAGGAGCTTTGGAGATAACACAAAATTAATTGCAATTAAATTGCCTTTGGTCCTGTTTGATATTTAAGATAACATTTATACTTTTCACATTTAATAGCTTAGAATGGAACAGGTCTGAAACCACATTCTGCTCAAGCACACGTCACCCTTAACCTTCCTTTAAATTGTCTACAATGTGAAAACTCAGTAGATTTGTAAGTAATTTGAAAATTTCCAAGTAGCTTCACAACTTTCCTAATTTTCCCCTACAAGATTCACAAAAATTTCTTTTAAAAAAATTTTGGTTGTTGTTAATCCTCACATGAGGATATTTTTTCCATTGATTTTCAGAGGGAGTAGAAAC